CTGAGGTCTTCATTTCCCAGATGAGCAAACTGAAGCAGGAAGGAACAAGGGACAATGTCAAAGCACCTTCACAGTGATGATTTGGTCTCTGGCTAGCTCGGATTCTTGCATTTAGTAATAGAAATTAAAACTAAAGCATAAATTTACAGGAAAAAGCGTTGACTAAAAACACTAGGAAGGGGCTTTAGCTGCAGGAGCTGACCTAGAGCAGCTGCCCTAACAGAGGCTGGGGGCAGGAATCAGACTGGCCGAGGCCCAGGCCGGCTCTTAAAGAACTGCTGGAGAGCCGGGGCCTGGTTTCCTAGCTCCGCACTCCTCAGGGCTTGAGGGTGATCATGGTCCCAGGAAACAACTGTCCCAGCCTCTGCTTGTCCCAGAACCCAGCGGGTCACAGCTCCAGGGCAATGGCTGGAGGCTCCTGGCTGTCCTTGAATGGCCCTGTGGATCCCTTATCTTGGGGTCCTCATGTTCAAAGAGGGTGAGATCATGGAAATTCAGGGCTAATCTACCTCCTTTTGCCAAAGTTTAGATGACACTCCCTCATGACTGACATACCCTTGTGCAGAGCTGAGAAGGAATTTGGCCTTAAGATTTACAGTAACAGAGTACAAAATGAAAGGCAAACTTTACTCTATTTGTCTATTGGGCTTTTGTAGAAAGAGTCAGGGTTTTGTTTGTTTTTGATTTCTTGTTGTTGTTTTTCTTTTTCTTTTGGTGGTTTTTTGTTTTGTTTTCAGCAAAAGCAGCTCTTGCATCCCTGACTACCTTAGGAGAAAACGCAAACCACACTTCCAGTGTGCCGCCTGATAAGGGCCCAGAAGTCCTCCTCACCCTATCTCTGGAGTGTTCTCTATTCTCTGAGGTTCTGAAATGCTGCCTTCTATGAGCCAGGTTACAGGCAGGCAAGCACAGCACCACACCAGGTTTCAGTGATGGTGGGGATCGTCATCATGAACAGCTTAGATCTAATATCTCTCTTTTCCTTCTCAGGGAAGTTGGTTTTTTGGAGACATGATCTTACTATAGTTCAGGCTGGCCTCAAACTCACTGTGTATCCCAACCTGACCATGAAATTGCATCAATCCTTCTGCTTCATCCTCTTGAGTGCTGGGGTTCCAGGCATGCGACACCACTCTGGGTGGGGCAATGTGACCTCTTCCAGGTACCAGCTGACCACATGCTCTTCCCACAGCATAAATGCTCAGCAGCCTGATTTTGCAGAGTGGGAACCCAGTCACTGTAATCACCTGAGATTGGAAATTAGCCTGTGTTTGACTTTTGCATAAGACAGGGGTGAGCCTCAGAAGGGGAAGGTTAGTTCAGCTCCAGACCTGCTGTCCTCACTGGGGTGGGTTCCTCCAGGGGACGCCACTCTGGAGCCAGGGGAGGTGAGCAGGTATGGTGCCCCAGAAGAAGCAGCTGCCTCTCTCAGGCTCCAAGTACTGGCAAAATGGTTTTGAGAAACAGATGCCGGGTTTAAATACTTCTATCTGCAATCTTAAAAAAAAAAAGCATCCAGCTGACCACTGAACTCTGTGGCCTCCCCACCCCAGGATGCTGCCTGTTGCTCCACAAGTTCTAGGAAGAGCTTGCTGTCACCTCCTTATCCAACCCATCTCTGCTCACCGCACCTAAGATCTGGCTGGGCCACAGACCAAGCAAAGAAAGTCCCTGCTGTGAATCCAGCCGCAGAGCCGTCGTTGTGGCCATCAGGAGGACCCGAGTGAAGCAGAAGAAAAAGTCTAGCTGGATCTTGTCATTCTGACAGCCTGCGACTCCGGAGCCTCAACTCCATGATCTTGCAGAGAGCTGAGCATTTCCTACCACACTGACACCTCGAAACTTCAGTGCATAAAGACACTAAGAGGCAAGCCCCTTGGAGCCAGGTAAGCGGGCCTTGGCTTTTCTATGCTGTTGCCTACTGTTCAGGGTGACCCTGCCTAAGACGTGGGCTGCTCAGGGCGGCTCAGAGGTAGAGAATGGTCCAGGGGCCAGACTGGTGTCTGAGTCGTCCCCAAGAGCGCCTGTAAAACAATTAGGACTAGGCAGTGTGGACCAGACGGTACTGAGGTACAGCTGCAAGGCACTGAGTAGCTTACTGTCCTGGGAGCAGCTAGGCAGAATTATAGGACTGTGTGCAGTGCTCGCTTTGGTAACACATATCCTAAGTCTTATGTGCAGGTGCAATGTATGTTGCGGGGTATGGAGGTACTGGAGATTGAACTCAGGGCCCTCCCAGTGACCACATTCCAGCATTTTTTTTTTATATACCAAGTTTTACTGCATTGCTCAGGCTAGTCAAACACATGTTCCCCATGCCTCAAACTCCCAGAGTGCTATGATTGCAGCCCTGAGCCACCATGCCCTGCTAAAAGGAAACTTTCTTACATGATTTCTTTTTGGAGACTGATTTAAAAAGCCAGCCACTCTGAAGAAACAAGAGATGACTTTCACGCAAAGTTCTTTAAAAACAAATTACTTAGCCAGGCATGGTGGCAGTTGCCTCTAATCCTAGCACTCTGGAGGCTGAGGCAGGAGGATTGTTGCGAGTTTGAGGCCAGCCTGGGTTACAAAGTGAGTTCAAAGCCAGCCTGAGCTGCATAGTGAGACCTTGTCTCAAAAAGACAAAAAAAATTACTTGTCAAATTTCCCCCTGTAAAGGAACACCAAGATGGTGTATGAAGAGACTGTAGCAAGAGGGAAATATTACTCAGGAAAAGCATTGCACATACGAGGGTGGTTGACGCTGAGCCAGTTTCCTGAGGAGACTCGGTGGCTTTTAGTGTCCTGGACAGCCCTGACTGTTCGCAGGACTTCTCTGAGTTACAGACTGGAGGACACAAGGGCTGGGTGGCTCCAGGCTCTGGGGACAGTGGATCTCTGTTCAGTGACATTGAGGAAGATTCCATGGCAACAGGGTTCTCGCATTTCTCCTGCAAATCTCCTTCCCGGGTCACCTTTAGGAGCAGTGTGCCTGGAGTTGTCGTGGGGTCGGCATTTTAAAGAAATAGCAGGTAGAGTCTGGGCTGGGTCAGCTGGCAGTGGTGATTCAAATTCCTCTCACTTTTGCCAGATTAACAAGAATCTGGGCTCATGGGAAGAGCCTGGCCAGGCCACCCCAAATTGTGGACCTCCAGGCTGAGCAATCTGCAAGAACCAGGACCTGTAGGAGCAGCAAAGAGCCACTCCTTAGGGCACCTGCGCTTCCCGGAACCAAGAGTGACAGGTGGAGGCAGAGGAGTGAGCCCCTGGGATGGATCCCATTGGAAATGAAAGTGCTCCCACCTCCCACCCTAACCAAGTGCAGCCCCTTCCAGCAAGGAACCCACCACCCGCCATGGGCCTTGGTGTCCCCTGGCCAAGCCAGACCAATGGACACTAAAGCAGGAAATCTCATTAAGGGGAGTAGAAGGAAGAGCTTGAGGCAACCAGGTTCCAGGCAGGGGCGATGACTGGCTGTTGGGTCAAATCACTTCCTCTTCTTGGTGGCCACGTAATGAAAACCCCATTTATTTTTATTCACTCGTTTTCCAATGTTAGAACATTTTAGTCAACACTTAGAAACAAGCCTGTTTATGGGCTATGGTGTGATACCTCAGTGCATGTGTCCACAGTGTAAGCACCGGAATGGGGTCACTGGTGCCTCTGTCCCCTCAGCACTGACCATTTCCTTGAGTGCAGGGCATCCAAAAGCCTCCCTATGACCTACTCAGAACTCGCAGTTGTGGTCAACCCTGGTCCTCGCACAATGCCACAGGATGCTCAAAGTCACCCCTCAGGCCCAGCTGCACCCCGCACACATGCGCCCTCTGCCCTCCACGGCCCAACCCCGACCTTTCCCAGACAAATCACTGCTCTGTGCTCCGCTTCTCGACAGCAGCTGTCAGAAATTTCTAGCCAGAATCCACATGGAAGGGCCTGCCATGGCCCTCACTGCCCAGACACATCTCTGTCTGGACTGTCAGCCAAGAGAGCTAGCAGGGCGGCTCTCAGGGGGCAAGGGCCATCCACAGGACCCTGGTCACTCTGTGAGGTCACCTCTTGGCCAAGGCTGTGCTGAGCTCTACATGTGCATGTATGTGCGCACGCTCACACACACACACACACGCACGCACAGAGCCTGGACTTCCCTCTGAACCTACCAACAGCCGGCACAGTGGGTGACCAACGAACCGCCCTGGGCCACACGAGGCCCTGTGACCCCAGTCATGCTGAGTAGTCTGTCCTCTGTGCCCTCCTCTACAAAGTGATTGGTTGGCCTTACAATCTCACTGTGACAGCACTCTGGGTTTGGAGTGGGTTATCTTTGCATTACAGTACATCTTTAGCTTTTATAGTGCCAGAAGCCATGAAACTCTCTTTGTGAATTTATACCCCACAACCAGGAAGATTTTCCTTCCCAGAGTCCTCCTGAGGCCTGCAGAGCACATGTCATCACACCATTGTAAGGGGTAGGACAGCCGGGTGGGCTCTGGGCTGGGCACCAGAGAAACACACCACTGGGTCTGTGCTCCAGTTATCCACCTCCTCAGAGCTGTGTCGTTGGGCACATTTCCTGACACTGGACACCTCCATGTCATCTGTCCCCCATAAATGGGAGCAAGAAGTTCCCTGCAAGGGTCACTGAACACTAAGGCTGGGGTCTTGTCCCTAAGACTTGGTTAAGAAGCCCTGGATACATGACCATGGGGAGGGCCGCTTGTACCTTCAACCCCCTACCTTGCCCAGGAAACTCACAGCTGTGGTGATGGGTTTCAGGATCTGTGCACATGCTTGATCAGCACCTCCTTTGCTATTGGACTGAAGGGTCCACAGGCAGTGAAGATCTGGGTCTCTCTCCTGGCTCACCATTTTGTCCCCGGGCCACTGTAGATAATGGGCCCTTGGTAAACATTTGTCATGTGATGAGAGAAATATAACCACAGCCTTGGCTTTATTGCCCAGAGCCTTACCCCTTGATGGAAACATAAATAAGAGAAACCGTTATACTTGATCCACAGAACAGGCCAAGATGGAGAGTCCAACTGCCACGGAAGACTACAACCTGATCACTGAATACAAATATGGCGACTCAACGCCGTGCCATAAGGATGCCGTGAGGGCCTTCGGGTCCCAGCTGCTGCCACCCTTGTACTCCCTAGTGTTCATCATCGGCGTGGTGGGCAACATCCTGGTGGTCCTGGTCCTCATGAAGTACAAGCGGCTCCGAAGCATGACCAGCATCTACCTGCTCAACCTGGCCCTCTCAGACCTGCTCTTCCTCTTCACACTTCCCTTCTGGATTGACTACAAGGTCAGAGACACCTGGATCTTCGGCGATGGCATGTGTAAGCTCCTGTCCGGCCTCCATTACATGGGCTTGTGTGGTGAGATCTTCTTCATCATCCTGCTGACCATCGACAGGTACCTGGGTATCGTCCATGCCATGTTTGCCATTCAAGTCCGGACTGTCACCTTCGGCATCATCACCAGTGTCATCACCTGGGCCCTGGCCATCTTGGCTTCCATCCCAGGCTTGTACTTTTCCAAGACCCAGTGGGAGGTCACTTACCACACCTGCAGCCTTCATTACCCCCATGAAAGCATGAAGGCCTGGCAGCGCTTTCAGGCTCTGAAGCTGAATGTGCTGGGGCTCATCTTGCCGCTGCTGGTCATGGTGTTCTGCTACACAGGCATCATCAAGGTCCTGCTCCAACGACCCAATAAGAAGAAGGCCAAAGCCGTCCATCTGATCTTTGTCATCATGATCATCTTCTTCCTCTTCTGGACCCCATACAACCTGGCTGTGTTTGTTTCTGCTTTCCAGGAGCACATGCTCACCAAAATATGTGAGCAGAGCAAAGAGCTGGACTTGGTCCTACAGGTGACAGAGGTGATTGCCTATACTCACTGCTGTGTCAACCCTATCATCTATGTCTTCATGGGTGAGAGGTTCCGGAAGTACCTGCGCCAACTTTTCCACAAGTAGGTGCCCATGCACCTGGGAAATTGTCGGTCCTTCTTCATCAGGGACTGGCTGGAGAGGGCCAGCTCCATGTCTCTCTCTAACAATGAGCATGAGTTGTCCTGCATGTTCTGACTCAGACTCCTGCTGGCCACTGTGGGTCCCAGTGGGAGTATTCTGCCAGGCCAGCCACCATGGCAAGGAGAAGAGGCAGTGTGGCTGTCCCCACCAGATTTCCACCCAACGTGCAAAAATTAGGCTTTGAGACAAAGGGTGCTCAAAGTTGGTCTCAACTCCATCACCTGGGGCTTCAGTCTTGCCATGGCTCTCCTTGGTGGAGAGTGACAAATGTATGTAGAAAATGTAGCAGAAAATGGCTTCCTCCAGCAAGTATGCTTCAGTTTCTTAGTTGTCCAGGTAATAGTTCCTGATTCTCTGTCTTGAAGTAAGCACTCAGACTGTAGTAGAAAATGGCTTCCTCCAGCAAGTATGCTTCAGTTTCTTAGTTGTCCAGGTAATAGTTCCTGATTCTCTGTCTTGAAGTAAGCACTCAGACTGTAGTAGAAAATGGCTTCCCCCAGCCAGTATACTTCAGTTTCTCAGTTGCCCAGGTAATAGTTCCTGTTCCAGTTCTGGTTGCTCCTGTCTCTTAGAAACAGCTGGTCGCTGTGATGCATAGCTGGTCACTATGATGTGCATTGTATAAACCAATCCTCAATTGACAAGCCATTCTGCTTCTGTACTTCCTGCTTGCTTATATCATATAAGCCATAGACCACCAGGATCAGGGCCTGATATCTGTGAATGATCCTGATCCATGCCTGTCCATGTAAATAAATCTGCCTCCAAATCCTGGGTGTTGTTTTCCTATTTCTGCTTCCAATTGTAATATGGTGCTGTCCCATTGTCAGTAAGTGGAGCTTGAGTCTTGCTGACCTCGAGAGATCTTAATTAGGGGGGTTCTGTAGCCAGAAGCCACTGCTGAGGGAGGAGACAGCCCTGGGGTCAGTGGGTGGGGCAGAGGCTGGTGTAAGCTGTCCTCTGATTTTGTCACTGTCTTCCCTGGTAGCCACATGCTTGATGGGAAGTCAATATTTCTGTCTCTTTCCCTATCTGCTGGCTTTTTTGTTGGTCAAGCACTAGGGGGCAAAAAGATCCTGAGGCTTTGTCCCTTCTCCAGTACTCTGTCTGACAAAGGATATAGGAAGGGAAAGGATATAGGACAAGGATGCCCCACATCTCCACCCATACACCTTCTCCTCACAGACCTTGAAGAACAGGAGTGGCCAGAGCAGGGTAGAGGCAATATCATGTCATCCACAAATAATGATAACTTCCTGGCATGACCCCTGCAGCTCTTGATGGTCCTAGGGAAAAATGGTGAGGGCATGAAGAAAATATGAAGAAGAAAAGAAAAATATGGAGAAGAGACAAAGCTGAGGTCAGGTGGAGGTCCTCTCTCCTGATGAGAGAAGAGGAACTGCCAACAACAATGGGGGCATTTATGTATACATTTGATAAAGTTAGTATGACACACAGGGTTGCCTAGCAACTAATGACTGGAATTGCCAAGGCAAAATGCTTTTCTTAAGACTGAGACAGCTTCATTGCTCTAGGCACTTTGGCCTTGTCATGCCCCCACACATGCAACCAATTTCCAGCTTCAGCCACACCCTACATCTCCCTCTTTTCTATCTTTTAGTGTAAATGATGGGTGTTCATTTGAAGTTGGAGAGGCTATGCTTGGGGGACTCTGTAGAAGATCTTTTTGTTCACTCTTTCCATTCTGAGTGAACTTACTCATTTAGGCTATAGATTTTCAGTTCAAGGATCTTAGATACCTGTATTCAACAATTTAACCATATACAGTCCATTAACCCATAATAGTTGTGAGTTACCAATATAGCTGGCAATTGTCAGAAGTTGTTAGTGACTTAAACCTTTTACACCTAACATATTACTGTGGCATTGTTTTCTAAATCTTGTGGTTATACTACTTTTCTGCTGGATATTTATAACTAAGTTAAAGTGAGACCCATATTAATCAATTTCTTGTTCTCTATCAAGGTCAGTTAAGTCTCCTCAGGAACCACCTTGGAACCAAATACAGCACCTCTTAGTTATGTCAGTGTCAGCCATCGGGATGAGCCACAGCCATTGCTTGACCAAGTTTCTTTTTGTGAAAGTTTGGGATATTTTTTCTCTCCTTGTGACTCTCCTTAGGCACACTATACATCATTGAATCACATTCTTCTGTGGTCCCATAATCTCCTTGATCAGAAAATCAGGGACTCCACCAAGTTATAGGATGAGTTACAGTAGAGGTTCTCTTATGTCCCGCGTCTTCATTGACCTTGAAGTGCTCAGCCAAAATGTTAGCTATTCTCTTAGCTCATCTATCTCTTTAATTTTTGGTCTGTAAACCTCAGTTGTCAAACATTCAGAAGAGAAGATTAATGACATTATATTGTAATGGAGGCACTAAGCTTAATATTACAATCTTATCTAAATATCAAACACCTTAGAACATGAAATGGAGCTGTTATTTTCTAACAATCATGGATATTCTAATATTTAATTCCCTATAGAATGCTAACAGAGAACAGTTACATATTTTTACACCAAAATTTAGAAATCAAAACCATGCATAACATTGCAGCATGACAATCATGACATTTTGTAACATAAATTTTCATTTTGATATAACATAATTCTTTTAAGCAATCATCTCTATCTAATACATAAGAAGCTTTTACCTAATTTATTGTCCCTTAATGGGATGTATATCCCAAGTTTTTTGTTAAAGACAGAGTTTTGAATCTGAAAGAAAAATCTTAACACCATCAGCAATCCTTGTTTTGCATTTTGGAAGAGCTGTATATCTGGAGTCATGAATATGTTTAATATACCATGAGATTAACAACACTAAATTGTCATACACATGTGAAAACCTTAGTTTTGCACCAAGACCATCTATTGTAAGAAAACCTTATTGTATTTTCCAGAAAACTTTATCTTTGGATCATGACCATAATATGATCCAAAACTTTATCTTTGGATCATATTGGGGATGTACCCCAAGAGACTATGGAGATCACTTATTATTAATGAACAAAGGTTGGCCACTCCTCTATTCACCAAATGGAGTCTTGGCCAAAAATCTCTCCTCATCCTAAGGAATTTTTGTTAATAATCTTAAACTTTTTGATGTCCTATGAGAAAACCAATTTTGATATCACCTAGACCAGCTGGTAACCCCGGTGGAAGCATGCTTTTAAGTCTATAACCCAACTTGTATTATGAACAAACGATCTACAAATGCAAAATAACAAAGAGGAAAAGAGAAAAATTGTTGAGCTCAGATAAAAAAGAGAACAGCTGTTCACGGAATGTACAAACAGACAAAAAAGTAGCAAATTCACAGATTTAAAAAACGAACATCGGGGCTGGGGATTTAGCTCAGCGGCAAAAGCGCCTGACTGGCAAGTGCATGGTCGTGAGTTCGGTTCCCGGTACCGGAGAAAAACCAAAAAAAATAAATAAAAAAAATAAAAAACGAACATCTTTACAAAATCAGAGTGCACTCAAATATATTTTTGTACAAATTGAATTATAGTAATTCGAGTACAATTTTAGAAATTTATAATTAAAAACAGATTAGTCAGATTTTGTTGTTCATCAATTAGGAGAGATCTCTTAGAAGTTTTGGAAGGAATACAATCTGTCATTTATAATTAATATACATTTTTGTATTTTATTCTGTCTTAAGAATACTGGTAATTTTCAGCTCAATTGTTTCTATAAACCCTATTACCTATTCAGACCTTTGATTTCCATTTTGCTTACCATTTCCTGGGCATTCTGGGTCAATTCCTTTGTTTGGCTATAGGTCAGATCTAACCCCATCCTTGTCAACTTCTTCACCAGATTTGGATTTATGATATAGCCAGACAGTGCTACCAAAACACAAGCATATCCTGGACCCCAAATTAGTGTGCTTTTTTTGCTCTACCTGACTGAATTGTAATAATATACACTGCAAAGAGAAGTGAGAGGGATTGATTCCCCCTTTGGTTTTTATAATTGAATTTGATTGTATGGTGAGAAACCTGTATCCTATATTTTGGCAGAGGAAGCCATCACATAGCTTCCCTTACCCTAAGATGACCCATCTGTGAAAATAGAAGCAAACTGGATTAATTTATCTGAAGGAAAATAAAAATAAATAACATCTGAGAAGATAACCAATGTAGATTGCCAAGAGGATGAAAATTATCATAACCACTGTTGTTCAACTGAAGAAAAAGAAACAACAAGAGTTTGCACCTCATGACCAAAGCCATTGAAAAGGACCCCAAGATTGCCAAAGGACCCCAGCTGGCCTATGTTGAGTTAGGCTGAGCCAATTAACATTACCAAGTCTAAAAATCAGTTAAGGTTGATCTGAAGAGTTTGGGACATAATATGCGACATAATATTTGTTGGATAAGGTGACTCAAACATGAAAAGGCTGACATAGCTTGCACCCCCTTGAAGGCCACCACTAGCCTGCCATCGGGAGGGCACCATCTACTTTGATGAATATTTGATGCAAGATGGATGAAGATTCATGTGTTAGAAAAATGTCACCTACGTAATTGATGAGATACGCAGGTGGATAGGACTGTCATACAAAACAGCAGCAGCCACAAACTCTTGGTTTAAGGTGGAGCTATTTTCCATTCCTTGGGCAGACAACACCATTGGAAGTGGCACATAAGGGCCTGAATATTAACAGTGGGTAAATTTAAAGCAAAACTTTTTTATCTTGAGAGTGGAGAGGGATTGAAAAAAAGCAATATTTTAAATCAATCGCTGTCATGGTTTGGGGCTTATTTTGCAAGGTGAAACAATATAATATAGGACACATATTTTATAAGATTATTTATAATAGTCACCTGAAGAATGATATACAAGAGAGTGCAGCAAATCTGTCCACACAACATAGACTAAGAATCCAGCTGAGGGCCTGGATCCTGTAATAA